TGTTGGCGCGAAATGGTGACGTTCCCGTGCTTGCCATTTGGGAGCTGAGTGGTGAATCTCCCGTACGGGAGTCCGTGGCTCCACGTGGAGAGTTTCCCGCGCGGGAACTGTGCCTCCACGTGGCAGAGTTCCCGCACGGGAAACTCTCCACCTCCCGTACCTCGGCTTACCTGGTTTATCACAAGCTCTTTGCTGACACACAGCGACAGTGAAGGTACTTACTACTCTGCCAGGAATGCTATTGGGTCCTCTGGTCGATTTTCTATCAGCTTGGATATTGCACCTCTCAGTAGGCCGCGAACTGCTGTCTTTTCTGCAAAAAAAGGAAAAATCTGATTCTTGTTCAAACTATAATATAATAATAAATTTTATGGACCGCCCGGCCCCCTCTCTCCATCCCATGACACTACACCAATTTCTTTTCGGAACGACGCATTGTTACAACAACATACCGTTGGTTTTGACACGGTAACATAAACTACGGGATATCAGGACTCATGTCAAACTTGTCAGCGCTACCAAACTTTCTGACATACCGAGAAAGTCGCGGTTTGACTCCGGCATCTTCTCCTCAGCGGAGGCTGGCTTCCTTTTTTCCGCCATCTTGGGCTAGTACCATTTGGTTAAGGGGTGCGTCCTACAAATACATTGTTTGGTCAACATTCGAATGTTTAAAACACAAGACAAAACAGGTATTAAATGCAATACATAATATTAATTATAATAATTATAAACAAATTTTTTACCTAAAAGAAAATTTATGTTTTAAATTATCTGTTTCAAAAGATTTTCAAAAAGTATCATCCCTATATTTATTGGAACAACCGTTGACCGTGATGCATCATGGGTACATTTTTTCACCAAACTTGAAAAATGGACAACTGGTCTACCGACAAGAGCACGGCGTATTACCGCTCCAGAGATCCCATTAACAACTTCAGGATCAAGTGAGTCAGTCAGACAGACACACGGGGACACAGGGAGGCTTGTGATGTAGATTTGATAGGTTCAAAAGCTCAGAAATTTAATATATGATGACCGTGTTTCAGAAGAGTGGATGGCGTCCATAGTTACGGCTACTCTACTAGAAGACTAGCTAGCCCCTCCCCATTCAAAAAGTTTGTTTTTTATCCTCCATGCTATGCACTGTAATACTGATACTGGTAAATTGAAAATGCATATGATGTAAGGGAAATGGCAGTTAATACACAAATTACAAACATCATTCCCAATATCATATGGTAAGATGGTGAGGTCTGCTATCTCTGATTGTCTTTGAAACACCAGACACTAAAAGGCACTAAAAGGCTGACTCAGGGATCGAACCCATGTCAGCTCACATCCCAATGTCCTAACCACTAGGCCAGAGGGTCCAGACCCATTGGACTGGGCAGTTAGTGACGGTTCGTTGATGACAGTTTAACTCACTTGTTACATCTTGTTTCTCCCAGAGTGACCCTCCATCGCATCACCTCAGCCACCATCATCCCCCAGCACAATGTGGTCCAGCAGGAGGGACAGACTAATGTGGAGATGGGAGACATGGGCAGCAGGGCTTCTATGGGTCTGTATCATAGGCTGATAGGCACACATAAAATCAAACTCACAACTCAAGAAGAAAATGGAAAAAACTAGAGTTCTGTGATCTCATGCTGAAACATGTGTGCGAACTAGTGAAACACATAAGAGCGAGTAGAAACAAGAAAAACCCAGGATACCGGGAATCGAACCTGTGCCAAACCCGGGCAGCACGCTACAGCTACACTAAAAGGTTCGGACCCATTGGAATGGATCATAGCGATCCCCAGTACTGTCACACTACATTTGCCAAATAATGTTAACCTTTGCTTTAGTATTTTACAACTGATAAGTATTCTAGCCAAACTAGATTTTTTTCTGTCATTTCAAGTTTGCTTGACATAAACATTGTGTCCAGTGTCGATACAGTGTCTAATGATTTCCTTTGTGGGGCCCACAGGACCACGCCCAGATGACAGGGAGGAGTTTACCTTACAGTGGCAGCAGAAGCTATTCAGTCAGGTATTGTCATTAATCATATACATGTATACAGATACTAGCACTAGGTGTAATTCACAACATCTCAGGCAGATGGCATCCTTGTGTTACTTTGTAATTGTAAAGCCATTCTTCTACATGTACATGTATATGCACACTTTCATTTTCAGGAAGTTCTGCATTGCCATTGCTTGAACAACCCAGCTAGCTGTCTTATTAATTTCATGAAAAAGAAGCCATTTGTGTAGTTAATTTCTATAAGTTATAACCATAGAAAGAAAAGAAAGGTCTCCCATGCCCTTGTGCAGAGCGTAGGGTGGTGCCCATCTCCATTTCTGTAGCCCTTAGGCGACACAGTTGTGCAATGCACTACAGCAGGGGGCTGGTCCGCTGGTAGTGCTGTGTGTTTGACCTTCCCACACTCTTTCTCATATGTGCTGTGTACCATTTTTAAAGTCTTTGGTATGACCCGGCCGGGGTTTGAACTCACGACCTCCCGGTTACAAAGCGATGCCATAGCCAAAGTCTAATTCCTCCTTTACTGAGTACATTCATGCTACTGATAAATCCTGTGTTGTTGTCTTCAGAGGGAAATGGATGTGTACAGCAACAAGGACAATGTGTTCACGTACCTAGACGAGAAGTACAACCATGAGGTGACGTCGTTAGAACAGAAAGGAGGCCGGCCCAACAAACGCATTTTCTCCTACGTGGACCATGACAGGTTCACTAACATGGAAGAGGTATAATCTGAGTCACATAGAAGAAGAATATCTTTTGTTGTTGCTGTTATTGTGTGTGTAAATATCAGACCCAGGGATACATGTACCTAGAGTGTACTTACAAAAATGTACCCTGATTAGATATAATAGATGAAATGAAATAACTAACGGATTTAAAATGAATGGAGTGGAAGTGGAAATGGAGGGAGTGACATGATTGCTGTATAGCTATATAGCTATGATTACCACGGTTGTGTTCTTTCTTCATTTAAATGCATTAAGTTTTTCTTGTTCACAGATAAAGCCCTTTTACTATTTTGCCATTTTCTGGCTGTAATTGAGTCTTGTCATAAAAAGTGAAAAAGTTATTCAATTACCGCACAAACTGTAGTCAGGTTTTTTATATTCATAATTTTAGGAAATACATTGCACCAGAATCTGACAGTGAGGCTAGGGTATAGTGATTGTTCTTCTGTCCTCAGTATGAGACAATGACGACATCGCCCAATGAGGAGCAGTCGTTCCTGGTGGACCGGATGAGCCAGGTGCGCAGGCGCAGGCAGGCAGCTGCAGACAGGTGACACAGCTGCCTCATATCTTACCACGTTACAAATGCTGTTTTTGTTTCAGCCTGAGTGCCATTGCTGTTTTCTTTCTGTGAACAAAAAGTTGTTATGTTTACCTTTACAGGAGGAACCACATTGTTTTTACTCTGTTTCTCCTTTTTCTGTTCCAAACATATAAGGTCAATGACCTGGACCAGACAGCTTTCCATGTTATCTGGTGCTGTAGCAGATACCCTCTGGTGTTGGATTACATTATGTAGCAAGTGGTAGGAGAGAGTTGGAGGGGCTGGTTACCATATATGAATGTGTTTATGTAAGAATAAGCAGCAGTAGATTGTTGGGCTAGACCATGTGAAGGTAAACATTATGTAAACATTATAAACATCTAGCTGAATCATTTCTACTGTCCATGTTGTAGAGGAGGAAACATTCCGAGGAACAAGAACTTGGTGAACATGAAGCCGACAGAAGACTTCCTCCGTAACAACCACGTCATCAACACCCCGCAGCAGACCATGTACATCATGGCTGATCTCAGTGCCAGGAACAGGTCAGTTCTCTGTCCCAGGGTAGCAAGGAACAGGCAAATGACTATACCTAGAAAGAAGATGAATTATATTTGACAATGTCAATCAATGCGTCGATGAAGGTTAGACACCCAGGTACATGTAATACGATACGCCAAAAAGCAGTTACTCAAGCAACTGGATCCATTTGCTTGAGTAACTGCTTTTTGGTGAATGTCAATCTATGTCTTGAAAATTTCTCAGGAAATTCAAACTCTGCTACTGGATAATTACGGAGATAATTTCCGGATTAACGAGCTCTGTTAGTTAATTGGTGACGCTGAAGAAGAGTGGTGGATGTCACACCTATGAGTATTGTTTACCTGGATGTCTAACCTTCATCAACAGAAATAATTATAGTTAGTAAGACCCTGTTATCATCATCATCATACCCCTAAACCTGTTATATACATGTATAAGACACATTTTAAAGAAATATTTAACAGATATCGATATCATATCTTCTCTAACAGGACTCCTGAACTGTCAGATGAATATGTCCTCTGCTCAATACAGGTATGTTCCTCTTTCACTTGTAAGTATGTTTTAAATCTGTCCCTAAGTGTTTTGGTAAATACATGTAGTGTTTTTACTAACTTTTCAGTTGCCGAATTTCCAACTTTATTTCCCATTCCACAGGTAGACAACAATGGTGTCATCAGCATTAAGCCTGACTTTAACCGCAGTCGAGGGCCTTATAGGCTGGAGACAGAGGGAGAGAGAAAAGGTTTGTTTGTTTATTTGTTCATTTGATCTAATCTAAAACTGATACATCATCAATATCATGTGTATTATCCCATTTCAGTGGATCCTTTCATATTTGTAATATCAACATGACCAGTTTTGACTTTCTTTTTTCAGAAATTTATGAATACACACTGCAGCATGTGTCAAAGCCTATGAGCAGGTGAATATATTACGTCTTTTTTAAGAATCTTATTGTACATGAATGTTAATTAGAATACATTGCAACTTTACATATTTTGTAGAGCATTCAGTAGGTTGAATGATATTTGTATGCATTGTATCTGTAGAAACATTGTTTACAAACAAGCCTGCTTTTCTTTTTTTGTTGACAGCCAAGAACAGGATAGAGAACATAAGATGTATAAAGAGGTAAGACTTGAATTGTATCATACTAGATATTCCAGGCAGATGCTATTGTTACCTTACTGATTACTTGTCTACTTGTTAAGTAATGTATAGTTTTGGTTCAAATATAAAACATTAGGATTAGTAGTGTCCCTTGTAATATATTTGATGTTAGTATGAAAAACAATCAACAGAAGCACAAGTATTTTTAAAGGGGAAGACTGATATCTTTCCAATTTTGCCAGTGCAAAACCAATGTCTTTCACTTCCCCTTTACAGCTGTATGCCAAACACATTGAGACACTAGCAGCCAGTGTGGGGGAACAGTTTGAAATGGTTTGTATATCATCATTGCACATGTTGTGTAAACCAGATTTATTTTCTCTATACTTTAAAAGTAAATAAAAGCTTTTCACATATTTTCACAATTAAGGTTTCAATGTCATAGCACTCATACATTCCACTGGAGACTGATATATTTTTCCTTATTTCAGCCACCTCCAGGAATCCTGAGATTGAACCTGTATGGAGAAATAGGTGACTAAAACACTCCATTCCTGTACCTTTAACCTTCTGTCAGCTACCTAACATTGTAACCTACAGAGTTCTCAGCCAAATGACCACTTTAGTTTGCTACAGGTTAATCAAATGACTACTGAAGTTAATTACAGGTTAATCAAAATGGCAAAACCAAGAAAAATCATTGTACAATGTATGTAAAATTGTTAATTAGAAACTGTGGGCTGTCTTTGGGGAAAATTGACATGAAATCTAGCAAAGACATGATGTAAGGCCAAAAAAACAAACCGGCACAAAATGCTGATCTGAAGAAAGTTGCTCATTTTACAATACACTCATCTGCTATCTACACTGGCCCACCTCTCGACATTCATATCCTGCAGCAGTCTGCTCCGAACATTGTAGCGGGAGCAAACCTTCAATTACCCAGTTGGCTTTGTTTTATGTGTTACAGTTTCAGCAAGAAACTTTGAGTATGACAACCTACACATCAATTTCTTCCTGGAACTACCAAAAAGTAAGACCTTTACTTTTTTTCTCATTACAAATTAAGTACAGCCGCCAAACAGATAGATTTTTTGTTTAAACTTAACCCACACATAAGAAAACACACCTGTCCTTGGTGCTGAACGCCATCCACACACAGGCAAACATACCTGTCCTTGGTGCTGAACACCATCCACACACAGGCAAACACACCTGTCCTTGGTGCTGAACACCATCCACACACAGGCAAACATACCTGTCCTTGGTGCTGAACACCATTCACACACAGGCAAACACACCTGTCCTTGGTGCTGAACGCCATCCACACACAGGCAAACACACCTGTTCTTGGTGCTGAACGCCATATACATACAGGCAAACACACCTGTCCTTGGTGCTGAACGCCATATACACACAGGCAAACACACCTGTCCTTGGTGCTGAACATAATTGTCTATTGCAATATTGAAATGGTTTTCTGCTAACCTTTACAGAAATGTCAGAACCTGATTTTACCATAATTTATGACTCAACTGTTTTATTTATTTCCTCACTCCAGATTGGACATCAGACCATGGGCAGCAGTTATCAGGAGTCACCCACACTGTTACCACTAAAGTGGAGGGCAAGGTAAGAACAATCTGCCTGTTATGACGACTTTTAGGATTTTTCAATGGTGCACTGTGCTTTGGACAAACCCTTATTCAGTTTGAGATAAAGCATTCATGGGTTAGCTAACTTAAATCTACTTTTTTCACAGGATAATGTGGCCTACTTCTCCTATCCTTTTGAGTATGAGGTTTTCTTCAGAAATGAAACAGAAGGTAGGAATTTGTATGTTGTGATTTAGTGTATACAGTCAAACCTGCATTTTAATGCTTTAAAAACATTTTAATGTTTTAAAAAACAAAAAAGGGCCCTTGACATTAAGAATATGGTTAAAGCATATATAGCATATACCTAGTTGACAAAATACGAAACAATCATGATCAACAGAGTTCAGTTCTTAAAATTATACAGCTTAATCGCTTTCGGAAAGAATGACAGTTCGTGTCTTTTGGTACGGCTTTGTGAAGTAATAGCATGTTATGATCGGTGCTCCCTTCCAGATGACATGCCCCAGTGGCCGCTCCTGTTTCTCCAAGTCCTGTCTGTAGACTCCTGGCAGAGGTACCGTACAGAGGGGTACGGGTACTGTGGGGTGCCCTCAGCTCCAGGTATGCACATCTACATGTATAGTGGGAAAAAATTAAGGAGGAAGAAAGTTTATACCACTCTTAAGAAATGTATACCTCCACCAAGGTGGCATGGTGGTGAAATTGGCCATCATGCAATTGTTAAAGATCAAGAAAGTTTCTAAATTTGGGCCCATGCCATTTCTTCATCATATCCATCATATCTGCTTACCTTCACCAACCAACCTCTTCTTTTGAAAACATAACCTTTTTTTCTGCAATGTCCTCTTGTGGAGACAATAGTGTGCTCTATTTTGACATACAGAAAGGCTTACCAACATCATTGTCTACTTACCTTCTTCATCAATCAATCAATCAATCAATCAACCAACCAACCAACCAACCAACCAACTCTTCTGAAAGCATAACCTCCTTATTAGACAAACTAGAACACAGCAGTATCCATAAAAGAACATGTATGTATTGGTGCTTGTCATTGTTGCTAGGTGTTCACCACAAGACTGTCCACACTTGGAGACCGGTGGGTAACAGTCTGGTGGACCCCATGAGGAGATTCTTCATCGGAGGATCACCAGAGCTGGAGGACCCGACGTACACCGCCGTACCGACCACGTTTGATGGACAGAGACTCAGCAAGTTCGGCTTTCGTACAGAATCGTCAGGCAGTATTCAGATCAAACTGTACTGTGTACAGCAGAGTCAGTAAGTACATGTAGTGACTGGGGTATCTGTATCTGTATAGCCGGTATAACACACCAGCTTCGCAGGCATGCGGCGTGGCGGAAGCTGGCTACATTACACCGATCAACTTGTTACACCTAACCCTTGAACATCTAACTCTAGACTTTGTTTAAAGCTATCTAGTGACAATGCCCCTACTGTACTTGGTGACAGCGAGTTCTACTCTGCGATAGTTCTGGGAAAGAATGAATTCTTGAATGCCTCAATCCTTGGTTGGTAACTTTGGTCCTTGAAGGCATGGCTATTTCTTGTTCTCTTCTGGGCTGGTATTAGGTACTTAGGGTGGGGTGTTGTGCTATGGAGATTTTGATTTTGTCAAACATTTCATAAATTCTGTAGTTTGTTAGACTACAAGATAACATGTAGTCTAGTGGATAGTAGTCCAGCTTCTGGACCACAGTCTAGCTGTGAATTCTATTCTCAATGATGATTAGTAGGGATTACAGTTCTTTTGGAGAAGGAGCCCTTGCAATTGTCTGAGAAGCTAGAGTCACCCCCGGTGTAACAGTCACTGTCTCTTTTCTCATCTCAGGGCATTCTTGGAGACGACAACAAAGAAGAGAAAGACAGCCACTCTACTAGACAGACTGGGGTGGGTATTTTTCACATAAAATTATCCATGCAGACACAAAAAGCAGTGTAAGAAATATTGCTTTATGTCTGCTTCATGTTATACTTATTTTGGACACTTGTTTGATCTATGGTATATGTTAAATGTCTGTATGTTAACCTGTGCTACCAATCTAACAGGCCAGACTATACCCCTGGCTACAACTTACCCTCAGTATACTTTGCCAGTGGTATGTGTATATATTATGGCCTATAATGTATTACACTGGCAGTGTAAGTTGAGACAATCATGCTGTATTGAATTTATTCATGTTCTATCTTCCCAGTGGCATGAGTGCACAGAGTAACATCATGAATGTGTTAGGTAAGTGACTATCTTGTATATCTGAATTACATGTATTTTACCATCACTGTTGCCCATATGTTGTTACAGTAGCCTATTCAAAAGATACCTTTAGAACATACCAGAATCTAATGCTAAATAAACTTGGACTCATTATTTCTTTCTTTTTGCAGATGCCTTCCAGAAGGCCAGGAAGAGAATGCAGAGTGCCAGGGAAAATTTGGCCAGCACCATGGGTGCAACATAGTTGTTAGGCTGTCAACTTCATTCAAGTGTTAATTATACAGCCTTGTTCGATGCCATTTTGTAACAGTACATGAAGAACATATGACTGAAAAGTCTTTGTAGTTTGGAACACAAGGAAATAGAAATCCACAGCTGTGTACTGATATTGTTCTAGATGTAAATATTCAAGTTTATTTTTCTGTACAGATTTTTATATTCAAGTTTTATTCAAGTGAAGCATTAAAACACTTGGCTCAACTACTTATATCTGCCTGAAGAATGGCTTATAGAAAAAGAACTGGTTATTAAAGTGTTGAGAAGGAATTGAAATTTTGGTACTCCTGCTATATGTATATATGTCAATGGTCTGTTTTTGATCCTCTGTATATTCTGTAAGTATATTCTGTCTTAAGAATAAAATATTTTCCACTTCAACTTTCTCGAAATCTTAAACTGTGTCCTAAATGTTTAAAGGAAATGATGTATCTCAATTTTTGTGGATACATGTATTGGACATTTTTTCTGAGACAAGCATTTTCAACTTTGCTCTTAACTCATATAAAAGGATATAAAAGGAAAAGATGTCAAAGGTTATGATATGAAACACGTAATCATAAAAGAAGGAAGGGAAAAACAAACTGCTGATTTTGGCAGCTGTTACAAGCATTCAGCACGCGTAACGTGCTTAAGGTTGGTGTCCCTATGAACTGGATTATGGGTGTGAATGTGGTTTTAAGCCCTCACGCATTTCACACTTTCAATACCTCAGAACTTATGCCTCGTATCAACAGATCCACGAAACAGAATTGTAGTTAACAAAGCAATGATGAGTCTTTCGCGTCAACGTTAGAAACAAACAAATTTGTGACCTTTTATCCACGAGGCACTCTTCACAAACCCCCATAGACGCCCTCCACTTCACCTGTCAGCGCTATGGTAACGCATTGATGGATTGCTGTCGGACTCTGACCTCAGTTGTGGAGGGTTCATCGGCCGCGGGCTCCTGGCTTTTATGCAACTTTCGCCGTAATTTTACTTGGCCAGACGTCGGCGCAAGAAGGTGGGGTCCCTCGGGTAAGTATGGTGCACGTAAGGACTGAACTGTAGGACACCCTAAGACAACTTAGCTTGGAGGGTCTTGGACTTGTAAGCTTAATATAGCTCCTGGAGCTGTTCGTCAGCTTGCTCCAACCACTTGAGGACTTAAAAATCTATGCTTACTCGCACGTAGCCGTGACCGATCCATGGTACTCTCGATCTAATTCTGCCGTACATTGTGAATGAAGCCAGGTAATACCTGAATTCAAGTTTCGTTACGTTTAATTCCTTAAAAACTTACAAGAGTCGCTTACGTACATGTAACTTCTAAGTCAGCACTGTTGCGTCGTGCCAGTACTGAAGCCCTATTGTATAACCTTGATCATTATCTAGACCACTATCGGGCAGTGACATTCAACGTTTAAGGCTTTAATTTGATACAGGCACCTTGTAATTTTATTTCAGACGGATCAGGCTAGGCTGTCCAAAGTGCGTTATCTATCATTTGTGCACTGTTTTTCTATGTTGTGTGCTGTGTTACCTTTTCCTTGCCTGAATTTTATTTTCAATAAAAAATGTATGTACTTCTTTTCTTGACGAACCCCTTTTCAGATATATTCTAGCAGCGGTATTTGAGTCCATACTCCGTAGTCATGGCTATGAAAGAGGTCTTTAAAACATGTGAGGAGACTCCGCAGCCGATACCTACAAAGGTAACAGGTGAGTTGTACATTTAGTACACGCGATTAGATTATCAACTACTGTAGGTCACTCAGATCAAAGTACATTGTATTTTGTACTCTAGACTAGTGTAATAGCCAAGCAAAAATAGCAAAATCTATTTGCACAAGATAAGGAATGGGATAAAAGTATCAAAGGGGGAGTGAATATGAGAAGATACAGAAATGTTAATTATATGTGAAGAACAGTACAAAAAACTTACCAGTTATCAAATTGTTGGCATGAAAAATTATGATATTCTACTTTATGTGATCATTATTTGTACTCTTATACATATAAAGACTCAATATCAATACATTTTTTCTACATTACTACTATATATATATATATATATGTATATGTATTTATCCTTACTTGCCAATTAAATTTTACATAAAATAGTCTCCATGCTTGGTTTCCATTTCTTTCCATCTATCCTAACATAGAATCATTATTCAATCCATTGTTCTGTTGCTCCCAGGAAAGATCCCCAAATGGCTGAGTGGGTCCCTCCTGAGGAACAGTCCTGGCAAGTTTGAACAGGGAGAACAGAAGTACAGACACTGGTTTGATGGCATGGCTCTCATCCACAAGTTTCACATTCAGGTAAGGCCAGTGTCACCTAGTAGGCATTGACAAAAAAGTTTGTTTGTTTTTAAGTTCAGAAAGTGTTACAATAGAAAACAACTCCAAAAGTAGCGAAAATTATTTAAAGGTAAGGTGGACAATTGTGACAAAAATTGTGACAAACCGATTAGGTGACTGATACTACAGAGCAGTGTGATAATGACTGATATTCAATGACAAAACCAGAAGAAAATTATTTAGAGCAACCAAGGTGCCGTATTTGTCTCCTAGGATTACACTTTTGTTTAGTACAATATTTGAAAAGATTACCTATTACTAGATATCTTACAGAAGTTTCCAGTAGTCACAATTTCCAGTAGTCATAGAATAGCTAAAATGAAATATTTCTGGAACCAGAATTTTAAAAAAAAGTCATGGATGCCAGCTATGTGTATTACATTGTACTAAGTAAGCATTGTTGGTTATGCAGATTATGTATCAAACAATGTTTCTACCTGTAGAATGGAGATGTGACATACCAGAGTAAGTTCCTACGCAGCGATGCGTACGTACAGGGACTGGAACAGAAGAGGATCGTCATGTCAGAGTTTGGCACAACTGCCTACCCTGATCCCTGCAAGAGCATCTTCTCCAGGTGAACAAACTAGTTATATTGATGTATTTACACCTGACTATACTGGTTCCCTGATACAAGTAATTGTTATGTTTACCTTCGCCAAAGGAAAACATATTGTTTTTGTTCTGTTTCTTCTTCCTCTTCTTCTTCTCCAAACAAATAAGGTCAATGACCTGAACCAGACATCTATCACCATGGTAACTGGTGTTGGGTTACATCATGTTGCCATTTTATAGCAGGAGGGATTTAGACTCCTGTCACCATATTAAATGATATGATAGTATGACCATCTGCCAAAGTGCTATGGCCTATGCACAATACATTACGGGTGCAGTGCATTCTGATGATGTGCTTTAAGCATCCCTAGTAATGACAGGGTATCCAACTTGTTGACTTTCTGATGTTTTTATTCCCTGCAGGCTGTTCTCCTATTTCACCCCCATGTCCAGACCCAGGACAGACAACGGGAACGTCCATTTGATGCAGGTTGGGGAGGAGTACTACGCACACACTGAACTCCCGTACATACGCAAAGTGGATCCCAGAACCCTGGACTCTGGCAAGTTGAAGGTAACAATTTACCTTTATTTATTTTTTATAGGGAATTTTCTCCAGTTTATATATTAGAAGAAGAAAGAAGAAGAAAACTTAAATTATTAGTTTCTTCTTCTTCTTCTCCAAACAAATACGGTCAGTGACCGACCTGAACCAGACGTCTGTCACTATGGTAACTAGTGTAGGGTTACGTCATGTTGCAATTTTATAGCAGGAGGGATTTTGACTCTTGTCACCATATATGTAAAAATGTGTTTGAGTAAGAATCAACAGAGCAGACCATGTGCAAAGGTAAATATTATGCATGCTTTGCAAATATTACCACGATATTTACCTTCTAGTTAATGTTATTATGATATTTCTAGGTGGACTACCAGAAGTACGTGGCAGTGAATGGAGCCACTGCACACGCTCAGAATGACACAGACGGAACCGTGTACAACATGGGAACGACCTACGGGAAGAACGGGGGGTACTGTCTCATCAAGATCCCTCCTCCTGATAAGGGTAGGGAGGAGTTTCATTCATATTGTAGCAAGTCAGGTTGTTGACATTTCATTAGCATTTGGAGTCCAGCTAGCTGGTTCGCAACCCTGCCAACCCTTACTAGAAAAGGTGAAAATTTTGAATCGATTAAAGCCATTGTTAGTCTTCCAACTTGCATGCACACATAAAAGGATTGCAGTCTTTAGAATGAGGCATTTAAAGCCTGTTGCACACTGTAGATCAACCATATTCTCAATTCATAATCATATTCTCAATATGTCATATTGATGTCAGCACTTTAAGATTCAAAATTTTCACCTTTTGGGTTTTTGGTTCAGAGGCAGGGTTGCTTCAGTGAGTGTTATTTACCCTAAATTACTACTCTCAGTAACTAGTTCAACAGAACAAGGATGTCCTTGGTGCTAAGTACTATTGTATATCTTTTTAAATCTAAGGGGAGGGTGATTTCCCATGCTGATGCTGGTGTCTTCTTACACATGTACCCGACCCCAGGTGAAGTAGAGAACCCCCTCCAGAAAGCCTCCATCATCGCCAAGATCCCCCAGAAGTATGGCGCCTTCCCAAACTACTTCCACAGCTTCGCCATGACGGAGAACTACTTTGTCTTCGTGGAGCAGCCGTTTTACCTGAACGTGCTGAAGATCATGGCAGGTCCCATCTTTGGCTACGGTGTGGACTGGGCCTTCCAGTTTCACAAGGAGATTCCTGTGAGTATAGAACTAGCTTAGATACAGTTGGGTCATCTTCATCATTTTCTAGAATAAAGTGTGCAACTTGACATACATGTAGGTAGTATTCCCTCTGAATGTTAATACACCACTACTCATTGTTATTGAGCAAGAATATGCCTGTCCTTAGTGCTGAAAAGGAAAAATTAGCATTTTCTTTAAGTCTAAGAATGAAGTGTGGATTTTGACATATCTGTAGATAATAGGTGTATTCCCTCTGAATGTTAAATACATCATTGTTAGTGCGCAATAATATACCTGTCCTTGGTGCTGAAAAGGACAAATTTGTGAAACTTTGATTATTCCTAAAATTACTACTTTAACCAAACAAGGCAATAGAGGAAACTAAACTTCACCCCTTTACCCATACTGCCTTGCAATCCCACAGATCTGGAGAAAAATAACAGGACTGAGTTTGTATGGCATTGTCGATATTTGGATTGCAGGAAATGCACACAGTCAACAAAAGTCCCAAAATACATGCATATTTTTTGCCATGACGTTTCTTTAAATGTGTTCTTCTCTTTTTCACAGACCCAGTTTCATGTGATAGAAAAGGCCACAGGGAAGATCCGGACCACTAAGTACACAGCAGACGCCATGATGACATTCCACCACATCAACGCCTACGAAGACAATGGACACCTGGTCATGGACCTGTGTGCCTTCGCCAAGATGGATGCCGTCTTCCAGTTTTACCTGCACAACCTGCACACCTGGTCCAAGGAGGAGGCCAACGCAAAGCTGGGAGACACCGACAACTACATCGCCAGATTTGTCCTTCCTCTTAATGTTCCTGAGGTAAATTTACTTGATTGTTATGTTTACCTTTGCAGAAGAAAAACATATTGTTTTGGCTCTGTTTCTTCTTCCTCTTTTTCTTCTTCTTTTTCTCAAAACAAATAAGGACCTGAACCATATGTCTGTCACCATGGTAACTAGTGTTAGGTTACATCATGTTGCAATTTTATAGCAGGAGAGATTCAGACTCCTGTTACCATATATATGAATGTGCTTGAGTAAGAATTAACAGAGCAGATCACATGAGAAGGTATACATTATGCATTTGCTTTGCAAATGTTTAGTTGATAAATGTTTCTGTAATTCTTGCAATTTGTGACCTACAGGACATTCCTGATGATGAGAATCTGGTGAAGCTTTCTGGCACCCTGGCCTCGGCCATCAGAAAGGATGACTCCATCTACTGTGTGCCAGAGATCCTCACTGATGGTAATAACAACATTTTTAGTGAGCAGTAACATACCTGTCCTTGGTGCTGAAAATAACAAATTTGTGTTTTCTGTTGGAAAAGGCTCTACTCACAGCGACAGAATTACCTCCTTTTGAAGCAGGTTTAAACTGTCATTTCCAACACAAGAAATTGGACTTATCCAAATTTTTTACTTTCTTCTTTTTTAAACTTGCTTCATAACATCATTGCTCATTGTTAGTGAGCAGTAACATGTCTGTCCTTGGTGCTGAAAAGGTCAAATTTGTGTTTTCTGTTGAAACAGGCAGTACTCACAGTGATTGAATTTGCTCATTGCTTGAACAATAACCTGTGCACAATAACCTGTACTGTTCATATTCTTTTGCTGCAGCAAACTTTGACCTGCCCAGAGTTAACGAGAGGTACAATGGGAGGAAGTATCGCTACATCTATGGAACAGACGTTTACGTTTGTCCTTTCAGAGTAAGTATTCAACATTCAGTAACAAAATGATGTTTACCAAAACAATATATAACTATTTGTATACGTTTTGGAGAAGGAGATATTTGGGACATGAAAACATAGTACATACAGTGAACATTTGAATTTGAATATTAAGTTTTCAAAGGTTTTTATGGGATTTTTGTTTTTAACTTTTTAGACTAATAACCTAATCTTGCCCCCCTCCCCCACCTTTCTTAGCTGGTGAAGGTGGATACAGAGACCAAAGAGAAGATCTACTGGTCTGAGGAGAACTGTTACACTGCAGAACCTGTGTTTGTGGAGGCACCTAACCCCACCTCAGAAGACGATGGTATATTTTTATTATTGTATATCATAATTTTACATTTATATCCAGGGAACACAGTAACCAAGTTTTGTATTTGTATCTGTTACCAACGCATACAGTGATTTATTTCTTTTTTTACATTTTGCATTTTAAATTGTGCATTGTTGTACAACTTACAGTGTTGTAGCCCTTTACATTTTGCATGAAAAGGTCTGTAGTAGGATCTATCAAAGACTCAGGCTGCAGTTCCTGCACACTCCAACAGGTGGCATGACAGGCACATACGAAACCAGCCACCACACCTTTGTACTTCTCAGGTGTGGTGATACTTGCTTTGGGTTAGGTGGTGGGGCATACAGAGGAACATAAGACTGCAGTTCCAGCAGATTCCTCCAGGGTGCACTTCTGTGTTGTCTCAGGTGTTGTGCTGTCTGCTGTTATAAGGGCGGGCGAGGGGAAGTCCACCTGCTTCCTGCTGGTCCTGGATGGGAAGACCTTCACTGAGCTGGGCAGGGCTGAGCTCTCCCAACCCAACAAAGTCCCCATGCAGACCCACGGGATCTATGTGGCCAACATGTAGACTGGCTACAGTCTGTAACAACTGTAATCAACTGTTCAACTTCAGTTAAACTGTTCAGAGCCACAAGGCCACACCAATTTAATATGTTGGATCACGGATTTGCCCGCTTCATTTTTTCTGATTTGAAAAAAAAAACATTTCAGCCTTGGATCAACTCCAAAATACTCAAATTTGGGCCCCAACAGTTGAAAGAAGCCCCTTCTCGTCAGAGTTTTAACAGTTTTTCCATCTATCAATGCAGTGGTTTGATTAAAAGTTGGTGTGGCCTAACAGTGCCTTTCCTGGGTCAGATTTTGTTGCTAATGACACAAAACTTGGGAGAACCATTTAAAAGAAACAGAAAACCTATGAGAGCCAAACATAGGAATCTTGCCAATTGCAGTTATGAATGCTATAAATATCAATATATCCATTAGATTTTGGGGATATTTTATTGTGATAGAAGACAAAACCTCTCCAGAAAACTTTTTTTATTGGATATGCAGCCATAAAAGGTGCTTATTTAATCATTATATCAAATGGCACAGGAAGACTGGCAAATGAGACCCTAACTTATAAGGATACAGATTTGTTGCAAAATGATATTAATGCTTTTTAAATATTTCAGACAATTGAAGTATATATGTAACAAATTCAGCTTGCTGATAAGAACAAAAAACTTAGACTTTTATTACATTGATTATATAGGTAATAAACTATGTATAATCTAATAATATTACCCCATATTTTCCTCAGTACTTTTTTTATTGTTTCAAGTACCCTCTTTTTCATTATATAATACTCTTCTTGAATAACCTTTATTCAATGCAAAATAGTTGTGAAGTCAACACAATCTAGTCATTAAACTACTGTATGCAGACTCGCTTCTGTCATGAAAGGCATATTTATCATGATAAAAGAGATATCATGTTATCACCTAACTGTTGTCAATGCAATTTAGAGGGAATTCCTTTTTATTAGTCCTACTTTAATTTATCATTAAAGTGCTTGCCAAAGTAAATCAGACTGTTACAGCTACAACATATATAGACCTAGGAAAACTAATATCAGGACCTGAGTCTGTTTGTGAGAAGGGATGAAATTTCACCCGATTTTCTCAATAAAAATTGCTTCTGTACTACAAAGTAAATATGCATAAAGTGACGTTTCAGAGGGTTTGAAATCCTTATAGATGTTAGATCGTAAATTTTATGGCCTTGCAACTGGTCGACCCCAGACAGAGCGTTTGGCTCGGAACCAAAAGGTCCCGAGTTCTAATCCTGCCATGCCACCGATCCTGTGCCCTTAAAAGGCACATTATACGAATTTCCTCACTTTACTCGAGTGAAAATGAGCATGTCTGTTGTCCGTGCGTTTGTCTGCGTTGGTGTCGGCATAAAATTAAGTTGAAAAAGCTTGAGTGTGCCGTCGCCATGTCTTGTGTGATAAATGTTGAAATAGAAAAAAAACGGAAACACAATATTTCTTCCTACGCCTTACTAAAAGCAGGGAAGTTGGACCAGACCAGGTGTGGACTCTGGGAGGTTTGGATATATACATGTATGTGCTGTCCAGCAACTACCATATTACCCGCCACAATTCCTCCGTTGATATAACCCCCTAATCCCCTCCCCCCTACCGCTTCACAGGAACACTTCCTACCAGACTGATGCTTATCTTTATTAGAATGATTGGCCAGCTGTATACATATTGGGCCCGTATCGGTCACATTAGTATGTTGTGTGTGCCAACATAATCAGGTATCGGAACAATATTAATATCCCTTTATGTGTGTCATTAGTGGTATTCCTTGCTTAAGCCTTTAGGATGAAATTCTCAAGACGTTTTCTTGCATGTTCTTAGAGATGTAAGAGGTGAAGGAAAATTTCCAGGCTTCCGTATTTCTTAAGAAAGTTTGTGGTGTGTTGTAGCTTGTTGAAGATGTTCTTGGTTGTTCTATTTGAGACTTCACTCGCGTGTCTTTGTCGGTTGGAAACGGCTCCAGGGAGCAAGTATGTCGCACGAGGCCGCGCCGACAACCCCGACGCAACCCCGACCTCCCGAAGGACACAGATCAAGCGTTACGTCTGCCCTACAACTTTACTGACCCGATATTCATGTTGCACGTGGCCGTAGAGTACTTTTTAAAAGAACCTGCTTTTTCCAGCACCTTTTGAAACGCCCTCAAACCTGTTTGTTGTGGTATTATGTGTCCAAAGAGGAAAACAGTTACCTCGTGTTGCCCGGGTGCCAAGTATCAAATAACCTCTTCACTATGGTATAAGCAATACTTCACCATGTTACTACTCCTATTCTGGACTGGTCTCTCTTTTCAAAGCGACAGAAACTTGACATGTTTATGATCTGACCCGTTTCTAATTGTGTTCACTTTGTAGAACGCCACAATGGATTTGTTGGCCGCGATGTCGTTGCTTTAGTGATGTATCCAAGATGAGTTCTCAAAATATTTAGTTTTTGAAGCTCTGTGATGAGAATCACTATAACGACATGAACACACACACTCAACACTTTGGGGATTTCGTCCAACGCATTTCATGACATTCCTTTTATCTACGGCAACTAAAAAAGCGGAATCATGAATCAAAGTTAGCTAAGAACCAAGACTAAATATAAGCAAGCTTTGGCAGAAAACCTATAAAGCTATATCGTTATGGTAGCGGTGGCATTGTTTCCTAAACGGGACTGAGGGCTCATGCATAACGTAAACCACTTTGATTCGTTCATCCTAAAACTAACCCAAAAAAGCTGGCTTTGTTTTTTTCGGTTAGTCTTCAAATAGATGTGCGTTTTCGGCTTTGTGTATATTTTGCCCATTTCTTGACATATTTTATATAAAAGTACCTTTTTTTTTAGAAAACGCATCAATTTTAAGATATTACGATACATACAATGTCCCAAGTATGCCAAAAATATAACGTTAACCCATTGAGAAACGTTTTTCAAAAACGCCCCCAAAAGACGTCCAAAACAAGCGGAAGCCATACAACAACTTGTAAGATCACCACATCTATCCTAAGGACGGCTGACTCAGACGATATTGTCCATTGTTCAGAATGATTAAGTCCTCCATGCACCATTTAGCGGTGAGAGGGAGAGACGCGTGCGGGCCAAGTGGTGGAGTGGGCCCGAGGGTTCTTGTCACCGGTGTACCGCGCGCTGTCGGGCTTTGAAGTCAACTCGTCCGAGCGTTCGAAAAAAAACTTCACCGTTCCACACCCCCTTTGTCTTCCGTAGACGCTGTTATTCTATACCGTGTACGGCAGGTGTGGTAAGAAGTGTAACGCTTGGTTACACCTGTAGAGGCAGGTGTAAAAATCAAGGTAAAGTTTGCCTACTACACTACACTACAGTTCCGATGGAAATGCTTAATAATCCTTAGTACTTCCGTTGTACTTCTGATGTGTGAACTGTACACTAGAGCGAACAAAACGGGGTTATATTTAGCTCATTGAAGCTTAGGCCACACCAAGTAAATTTTATGGATGACGTCCGCGCGCGCATTGATTCTGGCCTGTTCCTAGAAAAAAAAACAAGAAATTCCGCTTCCTGTAACTATGACCAAAGAGTCACGACAGTGCCGCAAATCGTCCGATTGACGTGAAACCCGTAACGCGAAGCCTGTGGCTATTGACAGGATCGTCCTGTCAATAGCAGAAAATATTGCACTGCTGACAGGATCGTCCTGTCAATAGCAGAAAATATTGCACTGCTGACAGGATCGTCCTGTCAATAGCAGAAAATACTGCACTGCTGACAGGATCGTCCTGTCAATAGCAGAAATATTGCACTGCTGACAGGATCGTCTAGTTCAATTAGTAGAAT